ATGGATTTCAAGCCATCCAATCACAGTGCTCTGTGTCATTTTACACAGTGTGGAAAAGTTCTTTGGAATTTTCCCTCGCTGTGTAAAATGTTACAGAGCACTGTGATTGGATGGATTTCAAGCCATCCAATCACAGTGCTCTGTGTTATTTTACACAGCGTGGGAAAGTTCAATTTTCCAACGCTGTGTAAAATGACACAGAGCACTGTGATTGGATGGATTTCAAGCCATCCAATCACAGTGCTCTGTGTCATTTTACACAGTGTGGGAAAGTTCTTTGGAATTTTCCCACGCTGTGTAAAATGACACAGAGCACTGTGATTGGATGGATTTCAAGCCATCCAATCACAGTGCTCTGTGTCATTTTACACAACGTGGGAAAGTTAAATTTTCCCACACTGTGTAAAATGACACAGAGCACTGTGATTGGCTTAAACCCACCAATCAGAGTGTTCTTAGCCTAATTGCAGGCCGTGGCAAGGCTTTATAAGCCTTCCCCCGCCCTGCAGAGCTCAGTCTGCGCGGAGCCCTCCATGGGTGAAGATGGATTATTTTTTTGCGCTCTGGTTTTTTATTTTTCGTCAGGTTTTTTTTTTTTTTGTGATCGGGATTTTTATTTTATTTTCAATTAGACGGTTATGATGGTTTTTTATTTTGTCTTTTTTGGGGCTGAAAAATGAAGATTTGAGAAAAAAGAAGACGTCAAATGGTAAGTTTACTTTTATTTTACAGGTTAGTTATTTTATTCCCCCTCACTATTTTTTAGGGTGAGGGGGGTAGGTAGGGACTTTTTATTTTGGGGGGGTGACTAGGGGCTTGGGGACCCCTAGTCACCTTGGGGGGGGGAATTTACTTAGGGCCCCCATCCGCAGCCCAGGGGTGGGTGCCGGGGGGGGAGGACAGTAGGTCCCACCCCCTCATTATCTTTATGGCCCCCACCCGCCGCGCAGGGGTGGGGGCCGGGGGGGCAGTAGGTCCCCCCCTCATTATCAATATGGCCCCCACCCACCGCCCAGGGGTGGGGGCCGGGGGGCAGTAGGTCCCCCCATCATTATCATGGGTCCCCCCTTATTGTTCATTTTAGGGCCCCCACCCACCGCTCAGGGGTGGGGGCCGGGGGAGGACAATAGGTCCCCCCCTATTGGTATTTTTAGGGCCCCCACCCACCGCTCGGGGGGGGCCCTTTTTTTTTTTAAACAGTGAGCAGCCACAGGCTGCTCACTGTTTAATAGACATGCCCCTACTCGCGGTATTGCGAGTAGGGGCACAATTTACTAATACTAAGTAATTTTTACTTAGTATTAGTAAATTAATAGGGGGCGGACCGAACATCGCATATGTTCGCCTTCGGTGGCGAACGCGAACACGCTATGTTCGCCGGGAACTATTCAGCTGCGAACCGTTCGGGACATCACTAATTATTATATCTATATCACCTTTTACCCCTAAATCAGTCAAGGATGCAGTTATAGACATTACTGTGGTAATCACACATTTAGTTTACATTTGTATATCATGCATGATTCAAATAGATTCATTTAAGTTCTAATATCCTGAAAATATGGAAGCAACCTCAGACTTTGGGTTCGTATGGCTGACAAACACTCTGGATTACCTGTGATGTTTATGCACAAACAATTGCATAGTTTGTATACCCCTTTGAAGCTCTGTGAGTTTAAGTATCTCGGATTGTAAAGTCCCATTGAGTAATAAACCATTGTTCTCGTTACCCTTGTACACCTACAGCTCACAAATTAAACTGTAGATAAGTATTCCTCCTGTTTACTTCTTAAGGTTACAAAATACAAAGTTCCTTTGACCTGTGTTGAAACAGCATTACGTAATGTCCAGGCCAGTCTACCAGCATCCATATTGTTTTCTGGATATTAGAATTTCATACTGTTCCAAATAGCACAACAGACTCAGCAGTCTAACAATAATTAAAATTCCTATGAGTTGTTGTGTAGGAAGGGCCCCAGTGCACTGCTTTGCCCGGGGGCCCTTAATGCTGTTAAAATAGTACTGCTTGTGTGTGTCAGTGAGCTTCTATTTAGTGAGCATGTGTGTGTCAGTGAGCTTGTCTTTAGTGAGCTTGTGTGTGTCAGTGAGCTTCTTTGTAGTGAGCCTTCTGTTTATACAAGTGAGTTTGTCTGTAGTAAGCTTGTGTGTGAGTCAGAGTTTTGTCTGTCAGTAAGCTTATTTGCACATGTCAGTGAACTTGTGTGCTTACTGTACTATATATATATACATATATATATATATATATATATATATATATATATAGAGAGAGAGAGAGAGAGAGACTTGTAGGAATGGCATACATTTTTTTCCAGGGCTGCTTTGGATTCCCAGGGATTCCCAGTTTGGCTCTGCCAGTGAGTGCACTTTACCGCTAAATCATCTGTGTGAACTGCCGCACACTTTAGCCCTGTTACACGCGTCTGGGAGCTGCTGTTGACAGGTACTAGTAGTCTAGAGATTGGGACATAGGGTATATGCTCAGCTATCTGTATAATACTTTAGTGCTGTTCTCTGTATAATACAGATCTGTGTGTATATAATATCCTGTGTTAGTCAGTTCGTCCTGTATTGTGCTGCTCTCTGTATAATACAGGCCTGTGTCTGTATAATATCCCGGGACAGTCAGTGCTGCTCTCTGTCTTGGGATATTATACACAAACAGACCTGTATTATACAGAGAGCAGCACTGACTGTCCCAATTTATTATACGCACAACCCTGTATTATACAGAGAGCACTGACTGTCCAGGGATATTATACACAGACATTAATTGATAGCTGTGCTGCAAAATGTCCTTGGAATTTTATTTCAAATGTTGGCAACTATGGCACTGTATCAAGGGTAATGTGTTTGTTTTTTTTAATAATCCCTGGTGGAAAATAATGAATCCTCCACCAGGGATTATTAAAAAAACAAAACACATTGTGTCGGGGGTGGGGCTTAACATGCGGCAGGGGCAGGGTCAAACTGCGGTGAGGGCGGGGTTAAATGTGCCCCCCTACTTTTGTCCCTGGCCCACCATGTGCCCCCCCTAAAAATGAATCCTAGAGACGCCACTGACTCTCACATACTCTGCTACCCACTAAAGATAGTCTCACCTATCAACTCACCTCCACGTAAGACTCCGCAACTTTCCTCCAGAAATTAGGCATTACCCCATCCACAAACCCTGGAAATGTTTTCATGTATTTATTTTTTGTTAACAGTTTGGTGAAGGTAAATCCTTGATTTAGGGTTGTGTGGTATCTTCAGTAACAAAGAATTTCTTCTTTGATTCAAGAGTGAGACTTAAGCTTATCTTGCAGCTTTATCTAGTGAGATTGCTTAGCTAGTAATGCCAGGATCACTTGAGTTCGACAGAGGAGACTGACATTTTGTATTATTCCTTGGTTACCAATATACATTTTTTGTTTTTTGTTTTTTGGTTTTTTTACCCTTTGGTGATCACAAATTCTTCTTTTGGGGAGTGTGAGGCATTCAGTAAAAAGAAATAAAATAATTTTACCTAGTTTGGGTCATTGTTTCTAGTGTGATACTAAAGAATAATTTGCAGCTGTACTTATTTTTTAGCTATTTGCAAGCAGCTTTGAATGGAAGAGTGACATTCTTTCCATTGTTTTTAGTGTGAGACATGGTTGCCAGTATAAAATATGGTGAAAGAATATCTTTCATTTGGGGAGTGTGTTGTGTTTAGTAACAAAGAAGCAAAAATATATTCCTTTTTCATAGCCTGGGTCATTGATTCTTGTTTGAGACTTGGCCTAGCTTTGTGATGTTTCTCACTAGATAACTAGTACTGTTACTGTTGCTTGAAACAACTTAAATTTGGAGATAGGTGAATACAATAATTTAATTGATGCTAGAGTGAGACTAGGTAAACAATTATTTTTTATTTATTTTATTTTTGTTCATTGTTTGGAGAAATTAATTCCTATTTCAGGCTAGTGTGAGTGTGTGCTGTGCACGTTTCAGAGCAAGACTTAGAGATTTGTTTTTGATACTAAGTGCAATTTTGCTGAAATTAGGCTGATCAGGTGATTAGAAGAATTTCTGAACAACCTTGTACCAGCATTTCAGGTGAACATGCTTGTTTTTATTTGTGACTGCTGCTCTTGGCAACAGGACAAAATGTTAATAGAATGCAGAAGAAGCTGTTTTTGGTGTGAGGGGAAATAAACAGCTTACTTTGCCATGATGGACAAGGTATGCCCAATCACATAAGGTTGATCTCTTGTCCAATCTAGAAGTAACAAAACAAAAATAATGGTTAGGGGTTAGTCACCAAATGTTGACTTATAGATATAGATCAAGTGAAGTGACCAATAGAGGGTGAAAAAAAGTGCAATAAAACAACTATACTTCCAAGCAGAATTCTTCTAGACATTTTGACTTTGACTATTGAGGGAGACAGGCCAGCAGTGATACAATGTGTTGGAATGTGAGATGGCATGTGTCATTGTCAAGTACTGTGAGACAAGCTTTAATGTTATGCTGCATCTAGCAGCTAGTACTGCTAGGAGCACTAGGTATAATTTTGTGTAGGAGATAGGAGTTTGGCAGGCATTTTATCATTCAGTTTAGTGTGAGACTACTTCATCAATATGTAGTATATATAAATGTATCTTTTTAACTGATTGGAGAATACAGTACTTCATTTGGACACTGTGGAAATAGGAAAAAAAATCACTTTGCCTAGGCTGTGCGATTACTTTTAGTATGGGACTAATTTTAGCTTTATGCTGTATTTAGCAGCTGATACTCCCAGGGGCACTAAAGATAACGTTGAGTGAGAGATAAAAGATTGTCACTTGGCAGATTCTTTGTCATCCATCCTAGTGTGATATTATTTCACCAATGCACAGGTATTAAATGTCATATATTTAAAACTGTTTATATATATATATATATATATATATATATATATATATATATATATATATATAAAATTGAAGAAGAAAATATACCGAGAAATACATCATCAATGTTTCAGCTTCCCTAAGGAGCTTTCATCTTTCATCAGCTTTCATGGTGTCCTGATGAAAGCTCCTTAGGGGAGCTGAAACGTTGATGATGTATTTCTCAGAATAAAGAAGAAGATGTATTGAAAATCCTTGGGTGCCGGTATATTTTTTCATTTTATATTATTGAGCAACCAGAGCACCGGGTAATTTAAAAAAAAAACTTTTTGGGTTGGAATGCAGGGGTTTATTATATATATATATATATATATATATATATATATATATATATATATATATATATATATATATATATATATTGTTAACTGTTTGAAAGAAAGAAAATCCTTCTTTTGGTGCCAAGGAAAATATTATTTTGCCTAACCTGGCTTGATGCAAATGCAACATTGGGTATGTTTACTAATATACAGTTGTTAAAAGAAATACTGGTTTCTCTTATCTGTCTGAAGCAAGAAAATTCTATTTTTTTTTCTGACTGTGTTGAGTCCAGTGTGTGCTGTTCAAACATGCAAGCACTGTGACTTGCTGTCACTGCCTGTTACCCCCTATTTCTTGTAGCCCCCCCCCCCCAAGAATCAACTAAGAGAGATCTCAGCTGAGATTTTCTGTGTCATCAGTGCAACTCTTTACTAGTGAGGCAGAGCAGAGTACCCAAGTAATGTCCTCAATGCCTAGGCTAGATAATGGTGAGAAATATAGTGATAATATCACTCTTTCCCCACTACACCTGACATTTTTGTAAGTCTGCCCCAGGGGGGAATTGCCTATGATACAGTGATATGATAATATGATACAGATATATGATACCATGATATACTGGAATAAGGTGATTTGCCGCTATGAGCAATTGGGATGTCAGGTAGTTTTCCTTTTTATTGAAATCATGGAGTGGCAGTATAGATAATAAATGTTCGGGTGTGAAGGGTATCTGTTTATGCATAATAGTCTGTATGAGTTTATGTATGCAAATCCAAAATGTATTAATTTTAGGGCATTGCCACCAGATGTGTGTCGGATTTGCCTTCCCCTGCCCGCATCTCCAGCAAATATTTTGTGTTCCTGGAAACATTTTGCTTAGTTTGGAGGGCGTGTAGTGCCAGCGGGTCAGGCGTTTATAGTTGATTTCCTGATTGGTGGTTGCAGTGGACATTTTGTGGGTTCTAATAAAAATGTGCTTCCATTGCTCTCCTGAAATGTCTATATTCATTTCTCTAGTCCACTTGGAAGTGAACCCCGTTGTGTCAATTGTGTTGGAATATAATAGTAGTTTATACATTGTAGATAACAATTTTTGTTTTAAAGGGTGCGTTTTACACAGCCGTTCAAAAGTTGTCAGTTCTCTATTTCCCTCTGGCAGCAACTTCTGGCTCCCCATGAAATATTTCACTTGTGACTAATTTAATTGTTGTATACTTGTAGGTGGTTTGCCGAGAGTGAGATCATGCAGTGCTATTAGTGAATTGTCTTTAATCATGTCCTGCAGTGTAATGTTTGTTATCATAATGGGTGACTTTAATCTTTCTGATATGAATTGAAAACCAAAATAGCTGCTTGTGCCAGGAGCACACACAGTCTAAACTCCTTACTGGGATTGTCTCTAAAACAAGTCATTGAGGAGCCAACTCGTGAAGAGGCCATACTAGATTTAGTGTGGTTAAATATAAGAACAGTGATTGAATCACACCACACAAAAACAAAAGTATTAGACTTTAGAAAAACAGACTTTACTAAAATTAGAATATGTGTAAAGGAGTCATTATCAGACTGGAGCAATTTAAATGGAGTCCAAGAGTAATGAGATTATTTAAAAATTGCACTGCTGAAGGCAACAGACAATTGCATTAGGCTTGTCAGTAAAAGCAAAAAAAAAAATATAGTGGTGCTCCGCAGATGGGGCCAAAATAATAAAAAACTAAAAGTTAGCATTTAGTAAAAATTTAAAAAAAAACAAGAGTGAGGAAGACAGAATGATTATAAGATTAGGCAGAGCAAGTTATAAGAGCATCCAAATCACACACAGAAGAGAACATAGCAATAGTCAGTAAAAAAGGGGACAAAACATTGTTTAGATACATAAATAAGAAAAGGAAAGTACAACAAGGATTAGTTAGATTAAAAACAAAAGAAGGAAGGTATGTAGAAGAGGATAAAGGTCTAGCTGGCTGCCTCAATGAATATTTTTGTTCAGTATTTACAGATAAAAATGAAGGAAAGGGGCCTCAGTTAGGAAACAGGACATGTATATATCATAAAAAGAGAGAAAATGAGTGCCCTTAAAATATAACTTTTAATCGTAATTCTAAAATGTAATCAAAATATCCTAAATGGAAATTATATTGAAAAATATAATGATAAACAAAGTATTTACATTCTAATATACGTAAGTATAATGATAAACCAACATATTCACATTCACAGGTAAATAGCTTGTCAATAGAAAAATGTGTAAGGAGATCCTGTGGACCACTAAAAGATAGGGTATAGGGCAGTGTGTAGAGAGACCCTGTGGATCTCTAATAAACAGGATACAAAGCTAAAAAATGGATAATATTACAAAAGATTTGTAACCCTATCTGGTGGTATCGCAACGATCGCTTAGCAGTCCATAAAAGCTAGTGATTCTTGCTAGCCACAGAAAAAAGTGTATATGGTGACACACCAACGAAAAAAAAAGTGAATATACAAAATAATTCACAAGAGAATAAATATAAACTAAGGTATATATAAATCAGTGAACTAATTGATAACTTAATTGTGAATATATAACATAATTCACAAGAAAAATAAATGATAAACTAAAGTATATACATTTAGGTGAACTAATTGATAACTCAAATAAGTCATAATCAATTAAAAAGCCTGAACTCTAAAAGTGCAGAAAAATGACCTGATAATCACTAAAGTATGTATGATGGTAATGAGGTTCTGTTCAAAAGTTCTTAATAAGACATGAGATTAAGGTAAAGTCACTGGATCACCGAGTTCTCCTCACATGTGAGTTTACAGAGGAAGAGGTTCTATTTCAACTGTCAAAAGTAAAGACAATGGGACCTGATGGAATGCACCCAAAGTTATTTAAAGAGCTTAGTGGTGTACCAGCAAAACCATTAACAGATTTATTTAACCAATCAGTGTTAACAGGAGTAGTCCCAGAAGATAGCGAATATTGTGCCCATTCACAAGAAAGGTAGTAGGGAGGAGTCGGGCAACTACAGGCCAGTAAGCCTTACTTCAGTAGTGGGGAAGGTAATGGAAACTATGTTAAAGGATAGGATTGTTGAACATCTAAAATTACATGGATTTCAAGATCAGAGACAACATGGGTTTACTTCAGGGAGATCATGCCAAACTAATGTTATTGATTTTTTTGATTGGGTAACTAAAATAATAGATCAGCGTGGTGCAGTAGACATTGCTTACCTAGATTTCAGTAAGGCTTTTGAAACTATTGCACATAGAAGGCTTATCAATAAACTGCAATCTTTAATTCCAATATTGGAATCTTTAATTGGATTCCAATATTGTTGAATGGGTAAGGCAGTGGCTGAGTGACAGGCAACAGAGGGTTGTAGTCAATGGAGTATATTCAAAGCATGGGCTTGTCACCAGTGGGATACCTCAGGAATCTGTACTTGGACACATTCTCTTTAATATTTTATTAGTGATATTGCAGAAGGTCTTGATGGTAAGGTATGTCTTTTTGCTGATGATACTAAGATATATAACAGGGTTCATGTTCCAGGAGGGATAAGACTAATGGCAAATGATTTAGGTAAACTAGAAAAATGGTCAGAGTTGTGGCAACTGACATGTAATGTGGATACATGCAAGATAATGCATCTTGGATGTAAAACCCAAGGGCAGAGTACAGAATAGAGTCCCAACCTCAACATCTGAGAAAAGGTATTTAGGGGTGATTATTTCTGATGACTTAAAGGTAGGCAGAAAATGTAATAGAGCAGCAGGAAATGCTGGCAGAATGCTTGGTTGTATAAGGAGAGTGTAATGGAGCTTCCTGTACCCCGGTTGGGTACATCTGCCGACAGATGCTCCTATTGCTCACCGAGGACTCCAAGCACTCCACCAGACACCATCAGCACCGCAGTCCTCAAATCCAGCGTTACAGCTTGGCTGGGAACTCGCCGTCCTCTACCCACCCTGGACCTACGACAAAGCTCCAGATTCCAGTGGGTGGGAGCTCTGTCCAGCCTGTTCAGCCTTGCCGCCTCACTTTTCTCCCATTTAGTCGCATACAGGACATGGTTCTGGGGTCTGTTACCAGATGTCATCATGTCACGATGGGTAGGTGCCATCTGTGGGCTTGAGTGGAGGATGTGGGCACCTCGCCTGCTGGTCCATGGCCCAGAGAGAGAAGCTGGAACAAGCTCTTAAAAGAGCTTAGTGATTATAATCCCTGGGGAGTATAGTGATATAGCAATCCCCAGGGTAGATGCAGCCTTTCTCCCCACACATGAGACGAGGCTCTATGTTGAGGGTAAAGCAGGAACTCAGCAGATCTAAGGGTTTATTGAACACCTTGGTCTTTTATATAGTTTTCCCCACAAGGTTACCACCAAGGTGGACCTTGTGGGGCACAGGGACACAGGAACAATAAGCCAATAAAAACATAGTTTTACATTCAGTCACTCCCATACAGTGTACACAATCCCTCCCCTCTGCTTGTGATATAATTAACAAAGACAATTGACTAACTCAATTAACTCGAAGCAGAAAAAACATAAATTTTTAAAACCCCAAAAAGTATCACAAAATACAACATATCACCACAAAAGTCCCATCCCCTGATAGCCCCGATCTGGGTGAACAACATAAATCACCCAGATCGGTTCAGGGGTTCAGGAATTTCCTGGAAGTCTTATTTTTGCCCCACCGTGCACATGGTCCCATGCCCAAAACAGTTCCATACACTCAACGACAAAACACTGCTGGACAATTCAAGATGGCCACCGCCACATGTTTGAATCTGTTCCAGTTAAAAGTCCAAGGAGCAGAAACAGTACTTTTGAACATTTGTTATCACAGGGCCCTTCTGAGGTGTTATTTTTCTAAACTAAACAGATTAAAAT